ATCTGCCACCCCAGGAGAAAACACAGAGCTATGGGAAATGCCCTATGATCCAATCAACGAGACGATCAACGGGTACAACGAGCAACGCCAACCACTTTTACTCGAGGTGATATGCAATGGACGACGCCTCAAAGCACTCGTGGACAGCGGAGCATCCCATTCAGTATGCGACAAAACAACCCTCGAACGCATCAATGAGAAGTACACGCCTTCAAACTTCACAGCTACGATGGTTGACGGAAGCAAATTACAAGTCTACGGCGAAGCAGCGTTACACCTGCAGATGGGTTCTCTTCGCTGGAAACCGACCCTACCCGTCACCAACATCAAAAGGCTAGACTTGATTCTTGGGAGAGATTTTCTGAAGAAGTTCAACCCCGAGATCAACTGGGTCACCCGCACGGCGAGTATTTACAATCAAGACAGAAGAGTTCCTCTTCCGAATTGGAGCAATACGGGAGATATTCCGGAGGAGACTCTCGCACGCTTCGAGAAGGACGTGAAGCGAACCATGGCAGGGTTTGTTGCACTGGTTACCTTCGAGGACGAAGGAGAGAGAAAAACGCTCGAGCTTCCACCAGCAATCCAGAAACTTCTAGAAGAGTTCGAAGACGTTCTCCCTGACGACCTTCCAGACCAGTTGCCGCCATACCGAACCTGTGAGAATGAGAACGAGAATGTGTGAACTATGAAATGAAGTGAGTACAAATATGAAACCCTAATTGGTTGTACCCCCTATAGGATACCCCACTATAGCCTACATAACAGCATAAGCTACAATGTTCTGACACACCCCCATAGGCAAAGTGGGGGAGAACAAGGGGTCACAAGACCAGTCAAGCAAAGCAAAGCAAAGGAAAGCTCAGGGTGGATCACAAAGTCACCACACAGTCCGAGCACAGGGTCAAGGCCACACGGCCAGTTCACATGCAAGAGTACACACATATATATAAAGCTAGACAAGCAAGAGCAGGTATATATATATGTGAGAGTACAAGCAAGGTCAAGAGGAGAGCAAGTGAGGCAAGACGGGCACAAGACCCAGCTGAGTGCAGAAGCGCTGATGATCACAAGGCGGAAGTGCCTTGGTGAAGACATCAGCAGTGTTGGCCTCAGAGGCCACGTACGCAAGCCGCAACTGTCCACGTTGCTGTAGCTCACGAGCAAGGAAGTAGCGGAGAGCAATGTGCTTTGTTCTGTGCTCCAGTCGCTGCTCTCGACACAAGGCCAGCATGGCCTTGTTGTCTACGTACAGGACTGGAGGAGAACGAGGCGGCTCTCCAAGGTCGGTCAGCAGGTAGGTGAGCCAGCGAAGCTCCTGTGCAGCCATGGCCCCGGCGTAGATCTCAGCCTCACAACTCGAGCCAAGAACAGAAGACGAGCGAGTAGCCCGCCACGAAACAGAGCCGGAACCAAGGCTGAAGGTGTAACCCTGTGACGACCGCTGCGTAGCCTGGTCGTCAGCCCAAGAAGCGTCCGCGTGCCCAGTGAGGACCACTGGACTCCGCCCTCCAAGCACTAGCCCCATGCCCGACGTACTGCACAAGTAGCGCAACACCCTCTTCGCTGCAGCCATGTGCTCTGGTCTGTGTCTCCCAGGAGCAACATAGCGTGCAAGAATGCTAAGAGGGTATGCAAGGTCAGGTCGTGTGCAGGTCATCAGGTACATGAGGCAGCCAACAAGCTCTGGGTACGGGCCACTCGACTCTACGGACTCATCCGAAGGCAGAGCTGAGAGCGAGTGGCGAGTAGACAGAGGATTGGCCTGAGGCGAGGAGTACGTGAAGCCGAAGCGCTGAAGGACCTGCTGCACCATGTGTGACTGAGTCAGGGTAATGGTGCGGCGTGCTCTGTCCCGGGTGATCTGCAAGCCAAGGTAGCTGCGCAGTTCACCCAGGTCTGTGCACGTGTGTCTCTTCTGCAGCTCGGACTTCACGTAGGCGAGTCCAGCAGTGTCAGCTGTGGCAAAGACCAAGTCGTCGACGTACACGAGGATGTAGAACGGCGGCAGAGAGGTGTCGGTGCGTAGAAACAGCGACGGGTCGGCAGTAGAAGGAGCAAACCCAAGAGCCGCAAGCGTAGTCCTCAGTGTGTCGCGCCACTCACGTGGCGCCTGGCGGAGACCGTAGACTGGACGCCGGAGACTCCACTGGGTACCAGGAGGGAAAGACCCAGTGAAGCCAGGTGGGCGACGCAGCCAGATCTCCTCGTGCAGGCTGCCCTGCAAGAAAGCTGTGCTGAAGTCAAGAGAGTGCAGCTCGTAGTCACGGTGAGCAGCAACGTGCAGCAGTACCCGAAGAGTGGTCATCTTCGGGGTGGGGGAGAAGGTCTGAAAGTAGTCAACTCCCTGCCGCTGACTGAAGCCACGAGCCACGTAACGCGCCTTGAAGACAGGCGGAGAACCCGGCGGCCGCTTCACCCTGAAGATCCACATGCCACTGACGATGTTCGCCCCAGGAGGGGGGACAGCGTCAACGTAGGTGCCTGTGGACTTCCAGGAAGCCATCTCTGCATCCATAGCTGCCTGCCACTGAGAGGAGTAGGGACCCTCTATCGCCTCCGCGTAAGAGCGCGGAGTCGGGATGTCAAGTGCATCCGGGTCTCCCTCAGGGGTAAGCAGTACGGACACGAGATGAGGTGAGGCAGCTGCCAGACACTGGAACTCCTCCTGCCTGTCCTCAAGGACGTCCGTGCCAAGGGCACACTCACCCCCGACGGACGGAGGACAGACAGACTCAGACTCAGCGACAAGACTAGCAGCATAGTCTAAGCGACAGCGAGCAGCAAAGTCGACGAGCTCAGTAACGAGAGCAGACGCAGCAGTAGACTCGAAAGAAGGGTCAGTGACAACAGTAGCAAGGAGACGCGTGACAGTAGGACTGGCAGCACGAAGAGAGTCCGACTCCGGGTCGGCAAGAGCAGGAAGAGAGGACTCAGGAGGAGAAGGCAAAGGGGCACGCAGAGGAGCCGTGGACGGACGCAGAGACATCCGGTGCGTGCCAGGGACAGGAGGAGGACGCTGACGCGAACCGCGACCACTAGTGCGAGCAGCACGGACAGGCGACGCAGGGTGAGACGCAGGCTCACGACGCTCAGCCAGACCTCCAGTAGGACCAGTGTAGGGAGAAGGAGCAGGCAAAGGGGAGGTAGGCTGCAACTGTAGCTGGGACGAGACAGGCTGTGGACACTCTAAGGGAGGAGGAGGACCAGTAGAAGGTGGAAGACCAAGAACCTGCTGCAGGAGTGGAACGAAGTACGGTCGAGGCCGCGCGGCGACGCTAGAAGCAGCAGGGACAGCACCAGAACCCTCAGCAGGAGCACCCGCTCCAGCAGCACCACCAGTAGCTCCAGAACCTCCAGCAGCACCAGGAGCACCCCCAGTAGGACTGCCAGCGGTAGTCTCAGCGCCAACACCCTCAGCAGCACCAGCTCCAGTGCACCCAGGACGAGCACCTCCGGGACCCGCGACCGCAGCACCCTCAGCAGCCGAAGGACCTCCAGCACCAGCAGCACGCCTCCAGCGCCGGGCAAACCACTCACGCAGCTCCTGTGGCGAAAGTGGCTCCCGGCGAGACGAAGCACTCGGAGAACCTCCAGGCGGAGCACCTCCAGGCTCAGCACCCCCAGGCGTAGCACCCCTAGGCTCAGCACCCCCAGACGTAGCACCCCTAGGCTCAGCACCCCCAGGCTCAGCACCCCTAGGCTCAGCACCCCCAGGCTCAGCACCCCCAGGCTCAGCACCCCCAGGCTCAGCACCCCTAGGCTCAGCACCCCCAGGCTCAGCACCCCTAGGCTCAGCACCCCTAGGCTCAGCACCCCCAGACGTAGCACCCCCAGGCCCAGCACCCCTAGGCTCCGCACCCCCAGGTACAGCACCCCCAGCCTCAGCACCCTCAGCAGCACCAGAGTCACCAGTGACCTCGACAGGCTCGACTGCGTCTACCTGGGACACACCTGAAGGGGCAGGACCCTGAGGGGGGAGGGGGTCTACCTGGGGGGGACCTGGTACCAGGAAGAGTGGGGGTGGGGGGAGGGACGGAGTGCGGTAGGGGAAGAGGCGGTAGTAGGGGACCGACTCGTCAAACGTGACGTCCTGGGAGGACAGAACACGGCGAGAGGTGGGGTGGTAAAACTGCCACCCAGGCGCGTCAGGGGGGAACCCCAGGAAGACGCAAGGAGCAGCACGAGGGGATAGTTTGTCCGCAGACAGGTCGCGGACAAACGCCCGAGATCCCCAGACCCGGAACGCCGACGCATCGCCAACCTTCCCGGTCCACAGCAAGGCTGGGGAGGTCTCCGGCCTGGAGACCCTGGGGTGGAGGTTGATCTGATGCGCCGCGTACCTCACGGCAAACGGCCACAGAAAATGGGGGGCAGCCGCATGCATCATAGACGTACGAGCGACGTCCATGACCATGCCAATGCGGCGCTCAGCAATCCCATTTTGCTGCGGTGAGTCCGGAAGCGTGAAGGTCTGACGGATGCCCCGTGCACGACAGTAGGCACGCAGAAGGCCAGAGGAGAACTCTCCGCCTCTGTCCGAGTGCAGACGCAGAACAGGAAAGTCCGAGCCGAAGTTCTGCCTGAGCTGGAGACGAGCTGCGCGGATCCAGTCGATCAGCACCTCAGTGACATCACCCTTGCTGCGCAAGGGGAAGACTGTGGTGTAACGCGAGTAGTCGTCAACAACGAGCAGGAAGTAGCGCTCGTGACCCTGTCCACGGACGCGGGCTGGGCCCCACACGTCCATGTGAAGTGTCTGCAACGGGGCCTCTGTCGAAGGAAACTGGGAGGAGTGAGGGGCAGCACGCTGGCGCCCCTCGACACAGGGGACACAGGCAGGGCCAGGGCCCTGAGGAAGGGGAGGGAGGGACCGGGGGAGACCGGACACAAGAAGACGGGAGGCCATACCTCTGAGCCGAAGCAGAGAGGGGTGGCCAAGGCGGTGGTGCCAGAGGAGAGTCTCGTGAGACAGGAGACGACACGAACAGGGGGCAGACTCAGGACCAGACCTGGACGCCGCAGCAAACACCTGACCCGACGTAACTACCCTACCAGACTCAGCAACTGGAGGAGACGCAGTGGTCAGAGTGTACAGGCTCGACCCCGGCTGACGGGTGAACGTAGCCAGGTGTCGGCCTGTGCCAGCCTCTGTACAGTGGGTCACTCGCTGACGTGCAGGAGTGAACTGGTGGACACCCGCATCCTGTAGGTCAGCACCACTCACCAGGTTCGTCGAGAACGAGGGGAGGTAGAGACCAGACAGGGTGCCAGAGGGAGCCGCCGGACACGGGAGGACTGTGGAGAAACGAGACAGGACCGGACCCCCAGAGGGGTCAGCCAGAGACACCGCAACCGGCCGACTAAGCGGCGTGAGTGTGGTGCGGTCCCGAAAGAAGGAGCGAGACGCCCCAGAGTCAAGAGTGAAGGTGAGAGAGGCCGAAGCCGACGCGGTACCTGAGAGAGCAGACTCACCAGTACCTGAGGACGCAGACACACCAGCACCTGGAGCAGCAGCGTCGTAAGCACCTAGGGCAGCAGCCTCACCAGTACCTAGAGCAACAGTCTCAATGCCCGGATCGGGCTGGAAACACCGGTAACAGTCACCCTCATCACTAATAGACACAGCATACATGGCAGAGAGAATAGCATCAAAGTCCAGATCAAAGATGGCAACCCCCGCCCTAGACAGCTCGTCCCAGCGAGGGATCTCGGAGGCCTCCGGGAACTGGTGACGCCATGCGTCCGTCAGGCGGCCAAAGCAGCGCGGAGTGGGGTGCGCACCCCCACACTGCTCACCCGCACGGTCGCCGGTGCGCAGGACGTAGGTACACGGACCAAAACCCCCACCCCGCTGGCGTGCAGTGTACCACTCACGGAGCTGTTGAGGGGACAGGGTCGCACGACCACGCTGCTGCTGCTGGCGCGAGCCACCACCGGAGCCACTCCTCTGCAAAGACCCGCGACCAGCTCCACCGCCACCCCCACCGCCTCCACCGCCTCCGCTGCCTCCACTGCCGCCGCCGCCTCCACCGCCTCCTCCACCGCCGCCTCCTCCGCCACCTCCGCTACCACCGCCACCGCCGCCGCGGCCTCCGCCTCCACTGCCGCCACCGAACCCCCCACCCCCACCTCCACCTCCACCGCTACCCCCACTCCCCCCACTGCCTCCACCTCCACCTCCACCGCCCGCTCCTCCAGCTCCCTTGCCCCCCTTGCCCTTGCCAGGGCGGCGTCTCCCGCTAGGGGCAGACGCCGCACCGACCGACTCAAGACCAAGAAGGTCGGCCGAAGCAGCAGAGGCAACAGAGGGCAGCAGGGGGGAGGGAGAACACCCCTCAAAGATGGGGGTGCGCGGGTCACCTCGAGAGGCTCCTACAGCGACTATGCTCTTTTCTATCGCGAGGAGGGCCTTCTCGAGGAGGTCTACAGTGAGTGTGGTGGGACAGACTGAGAGAAAGTGGTCCCTGACTACTCGAAGGGAGTCAGGGAGGCGAGTGACTAGGAAGTACAGAGTGATGTACATGGGGGGGGGGTTCGCGGTGCAGAAGTCAGCAGGAAGTGCAGCGCGGTAGCGAGTGTCACTAGTGCGGAGGTGCGTAATGAGGTCAGCAACGGTGGGAAAAGAAGCAAGGTTAGGGAAGAGGTACGGCAGCATGAGACGGCTCAGTGCAGCAGTGGAAGGGGAGGAGTAGCGCGCGACTACAGCGGCGTACAAGGTCTGAGCACTCTTGTACTGACTAAAGTGCGCACGCTCGGAGGTAGGGAGGTGGCGACGCACAGCAAGACGTGCAGCAGCATCGCGCGTGGCCCACTGGGAGCGAACAGTGGCGTCAGCATCAGCAGCAGGGGCAGGGGAAGCGCCAGAGGTGAGGTCAAAGAGAGAGAGGCCGTCCGCCCTATCGCACTGTAAGAACAGCTGTAGGTCATCTACCCAGACCTCAAAGTCAATGGCCCGACCCTCAGCGTCAAAAGTGAGGACACTAGGGGTAGCCATGACAGCAGTAGACCAGCAGTGCAAGGAGTAGGGGAAGAGCACGCAGTGACAGAGGGTCTGTGCTCACCGGACAGGGCTGCTCGGGCGGCTCGGCTGCAGGGCGGCTCGGCCGCTGGGCGGCTCGGCGGCTGGGCGGCTCGGCGGCTGGGCGGCTCGGCAGCTGGGCGGCTCGGCGGCTGGGCGGTCGGCTGCACGGCGGCTCGACTGGTGGGCGGCCGGGCGGCTCGGCTGCAGCGCGGCTCGGCGGCGGGGCGGCTCGGCTGCTCTGCTGCTGGGCGGCTCGGCTGCGCTGCTGTTGGGCGGCTCGGCTGGGCCGCTGACGTAGGGCGGCGGGGCCGCTGAAGAAGGACGGCGGGGCCGCTGGGTAGTGAGGCGGCGGGGCGGCGAAGACGGGCGGCGGGGCCGCTGCAGAGAAGCGGCGGGGCCGCAGTGAAGGGCGGCGGGGCCGCAACGAGAGAGGCGGCGGGGCCGCAGCGAGAGAAGCGGCGGGGCCGCGAAGTCGGGCGGCAGGGCCGCTGAGTAGGGCGGCGGGGCCGCAGTGAGAGGCGGCGGGGCCGCAGCGAGAGAGGCGGCGGGGCCGCGAAGACGGGCGGCGGGGCCGCTGAGACGGGTGGCGGGGCCGCAGTGAGTGGCGGCGGGGCCGCAGCGAGAGATGGCGGCGGGGCCGCGAAGACGGGCGGCGGGGCCGCAACGAGAGAGGCGGCGGGGCCGCAGAAAAGGGCGGCGACGGGCCGTAGGCGGCGCGAAGCCGCAGGTAAGGGCGGCGACGGGCCGGGGCGGCTCGAAGCCGCAGGTAGAGGCGGCGCGAAGCCGCGGGAAGGGCGGCGACGGGCCTGGGCGGCGCGAAGCCGCAGGTAGGGGCGGCGCGAAGCCGCCGGTGAGGGCGGCGCAAAGCCGCGGGTAAGGGCGGCGACGGGCCGGGAAAAGGGCGGCGCGCCGCAGCCGCTAGGGCGGCTCGACGCGACCGTAAGGGCGGCGCGACGGGCCGCTAGGTGCGACTCGACGGGCCGCTAAAAAAAAGGCAGGCGCGACTCGAGGCGCGCTTCGGTGGGCCCAAGGAACAGTCCCTAGGAGGGGACCTGCTCTGATTCCATGTGAGAATGAGAACGAGAATGTGTGAACTATGAAATGAAGTGAGTACAAATATGAAACCCTAATTGGTTGTACCCCCTATGGGATACCCCACTATAGCCTACATAACAGCATAAGCTACAATGTTCTGACATTGAAGAACCTGGTTCAAAACCGACCTTCCGAGCACCATATCGACTCAGCCCTACCGAGTTGGCCGACATGAAGAAGCAGATCGAGTACCTTCTGGACAAAGGACTCATTCGACCATCAACATCACCATACGGTGCACCAGTGCTTTTCACACCAAAACCTGACGGAAGCTTACGCATGTGCATCGACTACCGAGCCCTCAACAAGCAGACGATCAAGAACAAGTATCCGATTCCACGGATCGACGATCTACTTGACCAGCTTCGTGGAGCCACGGTATTCTCAAAACTCGATTTGAGATCGGGATATTGGCAGATCCGGATGGCGGATAACTCCATCCATAAGACAGCGTTTCGGACACGATACGGATCCTACGAGTACCTCGTCATGCCGTTCCGTTCGGACTCACCAACGCACCCGCTACATTCCAGGCCGAAATGAACCATATTCTTAGGCCTCTACTCGACGAATGCGTGGTGGTGTACCTGGACGACATCCTGATCTACTCGAGGGACATGAAGCAGCACATCGAACACCTACGACGCGTCTTCGAGATACTTCGACGGGAGAAGTTCTACGTTAAGCTATCCAAGAGCGAGTTTGCCTTGAAGAAAGTTCAGTTCCTTGGACACATGGTGAGCGCTCAAGGAGTCCATGTCGACCCAAAGAAGATCAAAGCCGTACGTACGTGGAAGATACCGGAGAACGTGAAGGAACTTCAGCAATTCCTTGGCTTTGCGAACTACTATAATCGGTTCGTGCCACAGTATGCGAAGATTGCAACACCTCTCACCAATCTGCTGAAGAAGAATACACCGTTCAAGTGGGAGGATGTGCACCAGCAAGCCATGGAGCAGTTGAAGACCGCACTCACGCCCGCACCCGTCTTGATCCTGCCAGATCCAGAAAAAGACTACGTCATCGAAGCTGATGCTAGCGACCAAGCAGTTGGAGCAGTCTTGATGCAAGACCAAGGGAAAGGACTACAACCAATCGCCTACCTCAGCAAAAAATTGCACGGGGCAGAACTCAACTACCCGATTCACGACAAAGAGGCCTTAGCGATCATCACCGCATTCAAGACATGGCGATGCTACCTCAAAGGGAGAAAGACCACGGTCTACACTGACCATTGCAGCCTGAAGTACCTAAAAACGCAGCCGACCCTCTCTAGAAGACAAGTCAGGTGGATTGACTTCCTCGAGACGCACTTCGACTACGACATCGTGTACAAGCCGGGACACAAGAATAAGGCAGACGCACTGAGCCGGCCTGGACACGTTGCCGCCATACAGATTGAGGGGATGAATCCGCTACTCAAGGGACTCTTCACGCACGGGTATACCATCGACCCCGAGATTCCCTTAGCAGAGAAAAAGAAATTGTTGCAGTGGGACCACGACATCGCACTACGCAAAGGATCAACAAAGATATGGGTACCCAACTACCCACCTCTTCGGCAGTTGCTTCTCTAAGAATTCCATGACGTGCTCTACGCTGGACACTTTGGGAGTAACAAGACTCTTGCCGGGATTGCGAAAGTCTACTACTGGCCTCACATGGCAAACGACGTGCAAAAGTTTGTCACTTCGTGCGACACGTGCCAGCGGATGAAAAGCAGTAAGCAGAAGAAAGCAGGACTTCTTCAGCCTTTACCCGTCCCGGAACAGCCTTGGCAAGTGGTCAGCTTGGATTTCATCACCGGTTTACCACCTACCAACGCGGGGCATGACGCCATCCTGGTCGTCATCGACAAATTCTCAAAGATGGGACACTTCATTCCGACACATACAACCGCACGCACGGAGGAAACGGCACAGCTATTCCTCAAACACATCATCTCACAGCACGGGATCCCAACAACCCTCATATCCGACAGGGACCCCAAGTTTACTAGCAAGTTCTGGAAAGAGCTCATGTCGCTCATGGGGACACGCCTAGCAATGTCATCTGCATATCATCCCCAGACCGATGGGCAGACAGAGCGCTTGAACCAAATTGTGGAACAACTCTTGCGCGCAGCGTGCAAGGACGACATTAACAAGTGGGACTTGCACTTGCCGGTGTTGGAGTTCGCCTACAATAATGCGAAGCATGCCGCAACAGGAGAGACCCCATTTTTCCTCTGTTATGGACGACATCCACTAACTCCACAACAGCCAACAGTACCTGCAACTGTCCAACCCGCGCACGACTTCGTTACCACAATGCAGCAGCTTTGGGATCGGACACACAGGCGTCTACAGGACGTACAGTCTTCACAGAAACGCTTGGCCGATCGCCATCGACGTGATCATATAATTGCGGTTGGTGACCATGTGCTTCTCGACACATGCAACCTCAACCTCGGTCACCTTCTATCCAAGTTACGACCTCGCTTCTGCGGACCTTTCCTCGTAGAAAAGCAGGTCACTCCAGTCACATTCCGCTTGCGCCTACCAGCTTCTTGGAAGATTCATAACGCCTTCCACGTGCAGCTTCTTAAACCCTATCAAGATCCAAATAAGCTGTACACCGGACGCCAACCTCCGCCGCCGCCAACAGTCCTCGTGAATGATGAACTTGAGTACGAGGTTGAATCTGTGCTTGCACATTGTCGTCGTCGGCATGGCGCCCTGGAGTTTCTCGTACGCTGGAAAGGCTATGATCCTTCTGAGGACAGCTGGGTCTCTAACGAAGACATGAGTAACGCCCAACGTTCTCTCCGCGACTATCTTGTCAAGCAGGGTGTTACATCTACCACCCAGCTTTGAGGGGGGGAAGTGTGAGAGTACGCCGACGTTCGGCATATTTCTCATTTCCATATTTTTACTCCATCTTATTCTCCTTATTTTCCTCTTTCATTTGCACTTTATTTCACCTCAATCGGACTACTATTCTATTTTCTAGAGCTTTCCGATTATTTCACTTATTTGGTATTTTCGGCACCGACATTTACATTATACGGCACCGACAGCACCGACAATGGTGTACAAGGCGTAATCTCGCCATAATCCGAAGTGCCAATGGGCTTGCGTGCTTATGCGCACTTTGTGAAAATGAACGAGGAATGAAAAGACTAAGGGAAAGTTGGGTACAAGTACAAACCCTAGAAAGCTGTACCCCATATGTGCTACCCCACTATAGCCTACAGCAGCTAAGTCATATAAATCTGACACACCCCCATAGGCAAAGTGGGGGAGGACAAGGGGTCACAAGACCAGTCAAGCAAAGCAAAGCAAGCTCAGGGTGGATCACAACGTCACCACACATTCCGAGCACAAGTTCAAGGCCACAAGGCCAGTTCACATGCAGGATTACATATATATATAAGGCTAAACAAGCAAGAGCAGGTGTATATATATATGTAACAGTACAAACAAGGTCAAGGGGTGAGCAAGTGAGGCAAGGTAGGCACAAGACCCAGCTGAGTACAGAAGCGCTGATGATCACAAGGCGCAAGTGCCTTGGTGAAGATATCAGCAGTGTTGGCCTGAGAGGCCACGTACGCAAGGCGTAGCTGACCACGCTGCTGTAGCTCACGAGCAAGGAAGTAGCGAAGAGCAATGTGCTTCGTTCTGTGCTCCAGTCTCTGCTCCCGACACAAGGCCAGCATGGCCTTGTTGTCTACGTACAGCACTGGAGGAGAACGAGGCGGCTCTCCGAGGTCAGTCAGCAGGTAGGTGAGCCAGCGAAGCTCCTGTGCAGCCATGGCCCCTGCGTAGATCTCAGCCTCACAACTGGAGCCGAGAACAGAAGACGAGCGGGTAGCCTGCCACGAGACAGAGCCGGAACCA